GTCAAGCAAGGTTCACAAATTTTTAAAAGCTAGAAATTAATACAAGTGTAGCCTAAGTCATTGCGTAAATAAGCTCATTAACTAATAACGGAATGAGATGTATGCGTCCACAATGGCGGAGTCAGCGTTTTTGGTTTTGGTTTGGGGGACTATAGCAGTTGTCAGTGCAATAATAGTAGATAGTCGATAAGATAGTAGTAGTTGACAACGAGAGCGGTATTTGAAGAAAACGGTAAAATTACATATTTTGTTCATAAACTTTGATGAGATAGTAGTAGTTGACAACGAGAGCGGTATTTGAAGAAAACAGTAAAATTACATATTTTGTTCATAAACTTTGATGAAAACGTGCAGAGTAATCAACTTTTGATAAACCATACATAAAATACAAATAGAATAATATTTTATCAAATTTACTTGTCAAAAAATTAGTTTGCGAGTCTTAGGTAAGGAAATGTAACCTAAATTTAATGAAATTATGTGAAAATGATGGAATACGGAAATAGAAGCAAGTGTTGGGATTGAAAAAGTCCAATTTTAGGATTACATTTCACGAATTAAAGATAACTAGACTATTCTTAACCCTACTTGGTTGAAATTAAAATTAAAATTAAAATCAACAATTAATTTTAATCATACATTTTATGGAACCTGCAACTTTCCAATCACATATTTCAAAATCTAATTAAAAATTTAATTTTAATTCCCACCAAATAGGACTTAGTGGGTGTTTGGTGGTGATTAAAATTAGATTTTTAATAGATTGTAGTAGAAGTTTTTTGAAATATGTGGTTGAAAAGTTGTGGGATATATAAAAGATGTGATTAATATTGATTGTTTGATTTTGACTTATATTAAAATTTAATTTTAATCCGAAACAAACATGACATTAGTTTCTTACCCGACCTTTCACTCTCTGTCATTATAAAATATATATCTACTGATTTTATTCAGATTGAAACCTTTCTAGAAGTTATAATCCTTATTGAATGTTCCACAACAGAAAAATAAAAATGAATAATGCTTAGCCGGCATGCTTGGCCGCGGGAAACACACGATTCCTAACCCCACAGTTGCTACGCTATTCCACGTTATGTCAGGGAGAATTGCACAAATAGTCACCAATCTTTACCTTATAGAGCAAATGCATCCTCCTATCTAGAGACGACAATTCAAACTGTTAAAACTGAAAACCGACCGATGGTGTAATAAGGTGGTTATGGTTTTGATTTTAATGATCCGTTTCAAGGTGTGGCGGGTATGATATTTAGCAATGGTACCCCGTTCCGAACAGATTACCCGTTAAAAAAATTAATTAGGCAATTGAATTTTCCATTGTTCATTTCCAAATTTAATTGGACAATTCTGACAATTGGGCTTCCCCAAACTTTTGGCCCAATTAACATACTAATAAACTCTTAATTCAATAATCTAAGTTTGACCCTACACGTTAAAATTGAAAACCAAACTTACAAAACACTCGTCCACCCAACCAATGCACCAAATCATATCCGTCGGCGCTCTGGTGCTTGTACCTCAGCTTCAAATTGAGAGTTGTGAGTCTACATAGAAATAGGCTTCACTCGAAGACTTTAGAAGTTTTAATGTGTGCTCGGGATTGGCTTTGGACTGATATTCATGGTACGATTTATTGTTTTATATTTGTTATTCATGCACTTTCTTTTATTGCTAATTTTTTTATATTGTGTAGAAAATTCTGCTCCTTCATCGTATTCCGGAGCTTGTATAACGTTTCGTGATGATGACATTGACGAAGAGGTACTTTTTTGTTTAAATCTTCAGTTAACACCATTCTTGATTAGGTAGTATAGTTGTATTATTACTCTAATTACATTTCTTATTTACTATATAGGAATCATTGAGTCTTGACTCTTGATCTGTGCTAGTAATAATTGTGGGGAAGAATGAAGATTGACCTATGGTTCTATGCTAATAAGAGTCTTGACCTATGTTCATAATATTGTTTGTTGAATTCCAATTTTACATTTAGAAGTTGGGATATTGTTTGCTAAATTGGTTTAGTATTGTGTTTTGTTTTTTTTACTTTTCTTCATAATTTTTTTTTTCAATTTGACGGTTAGAGTTTGGACTTATAAAAAATAATTTATTTTCGTGGTTATTAATTGAACCGAATTGAGTCGAACCGAAACGAACCGACTTACATGGTTATGATATGTCCAAAAATTTGATTATGCAGTTATGGTTTTGACCGAACAGACCCCTAACTGAACAGTTGCCATATGAGTCCTGTCTTAACAAGGTTTAGCTTATAGAGAAATGCATCCTCCCATCTTTACCTGAACCAAATATTTTGAAGGTTAAGTTAAAAGATCAATGTTACCATCAATTTTCCATCAAATAGCTCATGAATTTCTATAATTGTTCTAGATATTTCTTTTTTAGCTTTTTTTTTGTTTGTCAACTAATTAGGCCTTCGCCACGTCTTGAAATTCTTGGCAAGACAGGGATGGGAAGAGCTTCGCTTGTCCGATTCCATTGCCATCCTATGGAGTAGCACAAAACGTTAGGGGACAAAAAGGTTATATTTTGTAAAGTTAGGTATGCATTTGATCCCTTTTCCAAATATTGGGGACTGTTTGTGCACTTTTTCGTAGTATGCTAAGATTTCCTCTGTACAACACCAAAATTGAGCATCGCCTAACGGACCACATTGTGCACCGACCGCAGCATATCCGTACTTCCCACATAAAAAAAGAAAATTCTGATATTTATTTCTAGAAAATTTACTTTGAAAAAAACCAGTCCAACTTGAACCGCTTGTTTTCAACTCCACGACGCCCGCCATTCCTAGTCCTCTTGCTTAATTTCCAAGTTTCTTTTTTTTTTTTTCCTTCAATTTTTTAAGATTTTTTGTGCTTAATATTCATCATAAACTTCGAATTTTGATCAAGTATCGTTATTATACGAAACAGAAAAAGTTTTGAATTCACAAAACGATGACTACAATGGAGAGTTTGATTGGTTTGGTGAATAGGATACAGATAGCTTGCACAGCCCTCGGCGATTTTGGGGGCGACGATGATGTGTTTTCTTCCCTCTGGGATGCCCTCCCCTCAGTTGCCGTCGTCGGTGGCCAGGTCCGTATTTCTATTAACCTGTTGAGCTATAAAATTTTAGTCATGTAAAAAGAGAGAGATGATTCATTTGTGCACAAATAGAGTTTTCGAATTATATTCCAGCTGTAGGATTTGTAGTAATGTTGTTGGTTCTGTATTTACTTTGTGTTATGATTTTTGAACTTGTATTCATTACTTTTGCATGATCTTTTTACTATTGTTTTTTTCTGTTCTTTCTGGGTTTGGACGCAAAACAGAGTTCAGGAAAGTCATCAGTGCTGGAAAGTATAGTTGGGAGAGATTTCCTTCCACGAGGGTCCGGTTAGTTTCATCATTTTTTTTTTCGCACACATCATAATTCACGAAACAGAATTTGAATTGAAATATGATATTCATCTTGTGTCTTGGTGCTTTTGTTCGTGCGCGCGCTATTCAGGGATTGTGACTAGGCGGCCTTTGGTGTTGCAACTACACAAGACCGACGAAGGACAGGAGGAATATGCAGAATTTGCACATTTGCCGGACAGGCGACTTACTGATTTTTGTATGTGAAGCATCTCCCTTTTCACATTTTTGACTTCTACTTGTATAATATATTTGGGTGCATGACTTGGAAGAGCAAACTATAATTTTGTGATTTCATTTTTCTTTTGCAGCCTTGGTTCGCAAGGAAATTCAGGATGAAACTGATAGAGTCACAGGGAAGACAAAACAGATTTCTCCCATTCCTATTAACCTCAGTATTTAGGAAGCTGCTAGAGGTACATCACCTCTTACATCGCGGTGTCCATAAAGGACAGCGGCGCCTCCTCATACCATTCCTATTCACCTCAGTATTTATTCCCCCAATGGTATTTTTCATCCGTCCAGTTTCTTTTCATTCTGTTGAAAGAAAGGAATGTGGAGTTCAAATTTTTACTTTACCTTGTACAGTTCCGATTTATCAGGATCATAGACGAGGTCTCTTGGTATATTTTATTTGTGATGATATAGTTTTAATTGATTAGACTCTAAAAGGATCACATGTTGGTTTGAACATCGAACGCAATTAACGTAGAAACTAACAGTTTTAGGTTAAATAGAAACAAGACAGATTAAATCGTAAGCCCTTTTAGTTAGTAGAAGTGAAGATGATCATGGACATCGTAGAGAATCGTGTTGTCCCAATAAGTGATTGTTTGAAGTATTTAAGCTTGACTGTTAACAAGGAATGAGGACTTGATGAGGATATAATACTTACAATTGGAGCAGTTGAACGATATTAAATGTTACAAGGTCCTAGGTGATGAGAAAGATATCAACCAAGTTAGGTAGTTGTATGCAACAAAAAATATACCAGTTATGCTATTTGGAATTGATTGGATTTGAAAGGAAAACTTGTCTACGAGATAGCGTAACAAAAATGAGGACTTTACACCAACAAGAAGATGTGGTGCTAGTTTATAATAAATTAAGGTAAGTACGAGAATTATCTTGCATTGGCTTAAACGAGGTTCCTGTTCACAAGAGTGATGTCCTAGTATAATACAGTAACACAAGTCACAATAGCATTAGCTAGTTGGTTTTTCTAATCGACTACTCTACCTCAGAGATTCCCCCTGCCCGGCTCTACCTCAGTGGATCCCGAACTTATATCAAATCAAATGAGTCAGCAGTAGACTTCAAGTCTAAAGTTTCAGATATCAATAGTAGTGAATATCCATAGTCTTTTTCCAATATTCAATTGATCGTATGGAAAGGCGCCTACACTCAGTATGCGTCCCTCTGATGCGGTGTTTTGTCTTGCAGTTGTCAACTTAACTCTAATAGATCTGCCTGGTTTGACCAAAGTTGCTATTGGTACGTACTAATTTGTTTTTTGTCTAATCACGAGTAAAATTTTAATTGACGTGAACTTCAGCCAATAAAAAGATGTTTGTTCCTTCCAGAGGGACAACCTGAAAGTATAGCCCAAGACATTGAAGCTATGGTTCGATCTTTTGTTGACAAGGTGAAGATGATAGTTTCTCTTTAATGTACTACATTATCATTTCTCCAGTTCTAGTTGTTACTGGACCGCAACTCAAGTTTATAGTCCTATAAATCAACTATTATATTTATAGGTGTTTATAAAATGAAGATTCACAGGAATATGCTTGCCTTTGTTTCTTTCCTTAATATATTTTGACGAGTATTCACATGGATACAAATCGGATGAACTCCTCGAAAGCATGTATTCGGAAAACATATAGAACGATTTTTTTTAACACCGGTTGTCTGAACTTGTCAGTTTTGCTTATTTCAATGAACAAATTTGTGAGGCTGTTAATAGTACATAAGTCATCTATTATATTGTGTGCTATATTGAATATGAACTTCTATATATATTGCCACTGTAATGGATTTTGTGCATGTGCAGCCCAACTGCATCATACTAGCTATATCTCCGGCAAACCAAGATATTGCCACATCTGATGCTATTAAACTTTCCAGGGAAGTCGACCCGATGGGTATGTTTGCTGTCCTTTTGATTATCCTAAATTGTGGAAATGTAGAAGATGTGTTTGCCATTTTTATGGAGCTCTATTTGCAATCATTGTAGGTGAACGCACATTTGGAGTGCTGACAAAATTAGATTTGATGGACAAAGGAACTAATGCTCTGGACGTGAGCTCTCGCCTTCTTTCTCAAACACACATACCCACTTACCCTAATATACTCCACATAAACAATTAGATTATAAGGATTCATATTTTTTCTCTTTGGAGTACTGTTTTACAGAATATGGTATGTTGTTCAAAGTGATGCAAGAAAATGAAGTTCTGAAATGATCAAGATTTCCTAATTGATGCCCGAGATCACTTTTTCCCTTTTTTTCTCATTGCCTTCCAATTCTAGAAATGTACTTTATTTTTAAATTCCTCTCTGTTTCATTATCTGGCTTCCACCTCCCAGCCCAACTCCCTTGTTTTGGTTGCAGCTAACCATGAGTGACCTGTTGACATGCAAAAGAAACACCCCCCACCCCCACAAAGAAAAAAAAAAAAAAAAAAACCCCCCCCCCCCCCCAAAAAAAAAAAAAAAAAAAAAAAAAAAGAAAACTTCATTTTTTTTTTTTTTTGAACTAAGCCTCTTCTCTGCCAACAGGTTCTTGAAGGAAGATCTTATCGTTTACAGCAACCCTGGGTCGGAGTTGTGAATCGTTCACAAGCAGATATCAATAGAAGTGTTGATATGATACTTGCACGACAAAAAGAACGAGAATATTTTGCCACAAGTCCTGATTATGGGCACTTGGCTAGTAAAATGGGTTCAGAGTATCTTGCTAAACTTCTCTCAAAGGTACGTCTCTGTTTCTCTTTTCATATCATGTCGTCTGTACTAAATTGCATAGTGGAGTTCATATAGGTGAATTTTTTTATTTCAGCACTTGGAATCCGTAATTAGGGCAAGAATACCGAGTATCACTTCATTGATTAACAAAACCATCGAGGAACTTGAATCTGAGTTGGACCGCCTTGGAAGGCCTGTCGCTATAGATGCAGGGGTAAGCTGTGCATTCCTGATTGGGATTTATGAATTGAAATCTAGCAATTTTATCAGTAACTGACATTTGTTTCAGGCTCAATTATATTCCATTTTGGATCTTTGTCGTGCTTTTGACCGGATATTCAAGGAGCATCTGGATGGAGGGTATGGAATTCTGTCCTTTTATTTCTTTCTCATATTATGAATCTTCCAAGTTTTTTTCTTCAAGACCCAACAATTTTCCTGTCTTAAACGTTTCTTTGAAGAAGTCAAATTGAATGCAAACTGCAGACTTCCAAGTAAATTCACTTTAGAACTTATGAGAATATGTAAAGATCGTGTCAAGTAAAAAAGAGGGAAAAAAAAAAAAAAACAATGTATCAGCTCTATTACATAACCTTGAAGACAGCTTTTTAATGCTCCATGCCTAGGTTACCATTCTATCTACCTAGTAAGCCCACAGCATAAGCAATACTACTGGAACCTCTGACTGATATTTGGCTAGCTCTCAACTGGAATACAGACAGATATAGTTTTAATGCACATTCGAGCAATAAAATGACTCCTTGACATTTAATGCTTTCTTGCCACTTTTTTGTTTATGAACTTGCAGCATTATTTAGCCATTTTGTTAATTAGCTGTACTTGTTCACTATTTCAGGCGACCAGGAGGTGATCGAATTTATGGAGTTTTTGACAATCAGCTGCCTGCTGCTTTGAGGAAACTTCCACTTGATCGGCATCTTTCGATGCAGAATGTGCGGAAAGTTGTTTCAGAAGCAGATGGTTATCAGCCCCACTTGATTGCGCCTGAGCAAGGTTATCGGCGGCTTATTGAGGGAGCCCTAAATTATTTTAGGGGACCCTCTGAAGCGACCGTTGATGCTGTAAGAAGTTTTTCTTATTTACCTTTTATAATTGTATCCAATCCACATGCAAGTTTTGTCTAAAATCTCTCCTCACATAAATGACTCGCCAATTGCACATTAGGTACACTTCGTCTTGAAGGAACTCGTGAGGAAGTCAATGGAGGAGTGTCAGGTGCGTTATAATCCTTGTTGTTTTGCTTAAATGTTGCTGTTGTACTTTTCTACTTAGTTCAAATGTCAATCTTATTTCTGTACTGCATCTCTTTCGTGTAACAGGATTTACAACGGTTTCCAACTCTGCAATCAACAATAGCTGCAGCAGCAAATGAAGCATTGGAAAGGTTTCGTGAGGATAGCAAGAAAACAGTCATTAGATTGGTCGATATGGAAGCTTCTTATCTGACGGTTGAATTCTTCCGGAGGCTTCCCCAGGAAGTGGAGAAAGGGGGAAATCCAGCTTCTACAACCGTGGATCGCTATTCAGAGGGCCATTTTAGGAGGATCGGGTCTAACGTATCATCTTACGTGAACATGGTATTAGAGACTCTGAAGAATTCAGTTCCCAAGGCAGTGGTTTATTGTCAAGTTAAGGAGGCCAAACAGTCTTTACTCAATCACTTCTACATACAAATTGGGCAGAAAGAGGTACCAATCAATTCTGTTTTCCTTCGGTATTCATGGATGTCTTTTAGCAAGACGAGTGTGTTACATTAGCCAACTTTATTTTAAACTTAGGCATGGAGATACATTATGCCTCAATTTTTCTTAAGTTGATGCTTGCTAAAAGCTGCTGCATCTTGTTCATGGTTTTGCTAATATTTTAGGGTAAGCAACTTGCGGACTTGTTGGATGAAGATCCGGCATTGATGGAGAGAAGATTGCAATGTGCCAAAAGGCTTGAACTATATAAGAAATCAAGGGACGAGATTGATTCAGTATCTTGGGTTTGATGAAGCTAACACGCGATTTATACAATAGAATTCACGATTGAAGGGTAATTCCATAATCTTGATTGTCTAGAGATTTTCTCATTTTTATCCAGTTCATTTTTACCTCAATAAGACTCTGATGGTAGGTTTTTGTATACCTGACAGTTGTACCTATGCTAAATATGCTGTGTAAATAATTGAAACTTGCGGCCAAGGCATTGTAGTTTGTAATTTCATGTTGGTACATGAAACTAGCTTGTGAGTGTTGTACCTTTGAGCTTTTGCTTTTGTATGGATTGTGGCGTGGACTCAATAGTATATAGTTGTACTACATTGATGATGCATTTATATTGTTCCAGACGACCCCATCATACTTGCATGTTTTTTCATGGGAGACTTCTAAGGAAGTTGTCGCGTTCTTCTTAATGAAAAAAAAAAAGAGCTCTTTAATAAAATTTTGAATATCATCAACATCTTGTTTGACAAAACTTTGCTAAAATGGGATCGGTTGAGTTATAGACATCTTTTATGAACATCTAGCCCCTGTATAATTCCTATTCTTTTAAAAAAAATTTATCTACAGGATCATTTTTAATCAAACATATATTCTATATATAAACTCAAAACTTTTCCTTACTTTTTAAGGGTGTGTTTGATCCAAATTATTTTGAAAGAATATATTCTGGAATAGTAGATAATGCTGCAAAATGGTAATTTTTCATTTTCTATTTTTAATTTCTTCAATTATTTATATTTAAAATTTTATCCCTCGTTAATTAAATTATTATATTCTCTAATATATTAATACAAAGTGATATCATTATAATCAAAAGTTCATCAAATACTTAACTATAAAAATGAGTAGAAAAATGAAAACGAAAATTTTAATGTGTATCAAACAGGGACTAAATATACATTCTCTAAAAAAGACTATTCAAAACTCTTTAAAAATGAAATAATGGCCACCAAACGGCAGCTTAACAGCATATCTCATTTGTCCCATGTAACTTTCTACCAAATTTCGAACTTAACACATTTTCCCTTTCTGTTGTAGTACGTGGAAGAAGTGGACTTTAGAAGCAGCTATAATTGAAATGAAAATTATCTAGTTTAGAAAAAAATAAGAAATTGCAGTTAAGTTTAATGAATTTCAATGAACAACATTTTGAGGATTAGATTATTCTTAAATTTTTGTGATTAATCCTGTTAAACGGGCATATTATGAAACATTATATTGTTTTATTTAAATATGCATTTTTCTTTGCATTTTGCTTCATTGATTTGCACGTGAACTTTGAAAAAAGCCCCTAGGAATGTGTTTCACCAGACCAATGGTGGAATGTTAGATAAATTTTTAAATTAAATGAGTAAAACGTACTTTTAAGGATCAACATTTTATGTTAACTAGTGTACGCACGTGCGATGCACGTGTTGCAGTTTAGTTGAGTATTTAATAGCGTGTTCACAAAGACTCTTACGTGGGGGACATTCTTTGGTGAGATGGGATAACGGTCTCCTTAATCATCTCCAAGAGAGATTACATCTGAAAAGAAACAATTGATAAATAATGAATTTCACCCATACTAATGTTTCCATAAAGCAAAAATCTTTATATAAAAAAAAAAAGCCAAACAGCATTAAAAAAAA